TGTACCTTACTTGTGCCTTCAGGACCTGCTCTAGCCCAATCACATATATACCACTTCCATTTGTTGATGGCATGCTGCTGTGCATGACCTACTTTATGGCTAGATGGATCAGAAAGTACCCAGTGTATGATAGGCAGTTTAGGACACAGGGCAACTTGATGACCTATAACCAAATGTTCGGTTTCTACCAAAGCCCAGTAACAGGCCAAGAGCTATCTCTCAAAAGGAGAGTAGTTACCTGCAGAAGATGGCAGGGCCTTGCTCCAAAATCCAAGAGGCTTCCAATATGATTCGCCTATGGGGGCCTGCCAAAGGCTCCAGAGAGCATCCCTATCTGCCACTGATACCTCAGCACCATTAGATATGGATGGTCATATGGCCCAAGTGGCAGAGCAGCTTGCACAGCAGCCTGAACTGGTTGCCGAGCCTGCTCCTGTCCTGGACCCCATTCAAAACTGAGAATCTTTCAGGTCACTCGATATATGGGCCAGAGTAACACACCCAGTTGAAGGAATGTGTTACCTCTAAAATCCAAATAAGCCCACTAGGCATTGTGACTCTTTCTTGGTAGTAGGAAGGGCCAAATGCATCAACTTATCCTTCACCTTAGAAGGACTGTTTTGACAGGCTGCACACCACTGGACTCCTAGAAATTTTACTGAGGTTGAAGGTCCCTGAATTTTAGTCAGATTTATTTCCTACCGTCTAACACGCAAATGTCTCACCAACAAGTCCAGTGTCTTTGCTACTTCTTGCTCACTGTATCCAATCAGCATAATGTCATCAATGTAATAGACCATTGTGATACTTTGTGGAAGCAAAAAGCAATCAAGGTCTCTCTGAATGAGATTATGACACGAAGCTGGAGAGTTGATATACCCCTGAGGTATGAGAGTAAAGGTATATTGCTGTCCTTATCAGCTGGAGGCAAATTGCTTCTGATGGGTCTTATAGACAGGAATGGAGAAAAGACATTTGCCAAGTCATACCGGCTATGAGGAGATGTGTTAATCTGCTCAAGCAATGAAACCATATCTGGTATAGCAGCTGCAATTGAAGTAACCACTTGGTAAAGCTTACAATAATCCACTGTCATTCTCCAAGATCCACTGTCCTCTGCAAAGGCCAAATGGAAGAGTTGAATGGGGATGTGGTGGAAATCACCACCCCTGCATCTTTCAAGTCCTTGATGATGGCACTAATCTCTTCAATCCCTTCAAGGATGAGATATTATTCTTGATTTAATATTTTTCTAGGTAGAGGCGGTTCTAATGGCTTCCATTTGGCCTTTTCTACCATAGTAGCCCTCACCCTACCAGTCAGGGAGCCAATGTGGGGGTTCTGCCCACTGATAAGCATGTCTATGCCAATTGTGCATTCAGGCCCTGGGGAAATGACTGCAGGATGAGTCCCAGGACCCACTGGACCCACTGTAAGTTGGACCTGAGCTAAAACTCCGTTAGTTACCTGACCTCCATAAGCCCCTACTTTAATGGGAAGACAACAATGATGTTTTAGGTCCCTTGGAATCAGTCTCAGCTCAGAGACGGTGTCCAGTAGTACCCAAAATATCTGATCATTTCCTTTTTTCCAGTGTACAGTTACACGGGTAAAAGGCCAGAGGCTTCCATGGGATAAAATGTAAGAAAGACCAACAGCATAAATTGTCTTTAATGTAGTGGGGTCCTTCCCCAAAGGGACATGGCCTTCCTTTTATTCAAGAGGTTCTGGGTCTGTAAACTGGGTCAAGTCTGGAAGTCGATTGAGAGGCCATGATTCTCTGTTTTTATAATTCAAATTAGTCTTTTGTCCATTTGAACTAAAAGTTTTCTGCCTATATAAATTAAGTAGTACTGCAGTAGGCTTCCTATCAATTACACTTCTAGTCACACTATAATTAATTAGCCAATGCCAGAGCTCTACATGTGTCAGACTATTCCGATTGCTGCTTTGCCTCTGCTATCCATGATGATAGATATGCCCACCTTGCCTTTGATGGTTGAGTCCTGCCACTTGGCCCTTGCCACCTCAGGATTTAATAATTTCCATGGTATTTAAGTTTTGTCATGGAGTGACTGTGGTTTCCATTGTTTGATCTGACGTACAAATAAGAGCAATTACAGGGCTTTTCAAAGATGCAAAGTGCTGCCCTCACGAATCTGTTTTGCAAGGCATTGGTCAAGGTTGTATCTTCAGGACCCTCCCAGCTGGGAAGAGTAGGTCTAAAGTCACTAATCCACACCATCTCTATCTCCCTAGGCCTTTGGATTACTACCTCTACATTAAACCAAGGGAGATCAGGCATTTCCAGCTCGGTCACAGTGGGCCATCTTTTATCCGTATTTTAACTAACCAAGCAAATAAACTATTAGAACCTCTTTTTTTAACTCTCCAAGCTGCCACATTAAATGCAGAGTCACTGGTTGATGGGTCCAAATCAATACATTCAGCCTGATCCAACTCTATGTTCCTTCCACCATTATCCCACACTCTTAGCATCCATTCCCGTGCCTGTTCTCCAGATTTCTGTTTGTATTAATTAGAGAATTCAAGTAGTTCTTTTCAAGTGTAGCACACCTCTTCATGGGTCACACTCTCAACCTCACCTCTAGGGGCCTGCCAGGACTTTAGTCTATTTATAGGTCTAGAAGCAAACAGGGGTGTTGGGGGTGGCTCTGGAGAAGAATCAACATTATCTTGCCTGGCAGCTGCCTCAGGGGAGGTCATCACTGTTGCCTCAGGCAGCACAGGGTTTAACTCCTCAGACAAAGGTGGAAAGGCTGATGGCAGCATGGGTTGTGGAGAGGATGTTGCCACTACTGAGTATGGGGAAGCTGTTTCTTCTGGCAAAAAAGATTCATCAGAGTTTACAAACTCAGTGTTCCCAGCTTCATCAGGGTCATCCCCCAGCTTCATCTCCCCGATGTCCCCATTCTAATTTTCGGGATCCCATTCTTTGCCAATCCGTGCTCCAACTTTAATATTAGGCACCTGGCAAGACTCTGCGTGCACCTTTTCTTGCAGGCCAACCACTCGCATGTTAAGGGTTTGTGTCTGTTTTTCCACAATTTCAGCTTTTTATCAACAGAAGGTTAAGTCTCTCACTCAGGACAATCTTAGCAGATTTGAGGCTCAGTATCTGATTCTGAAGCCAGGAGTTAGAATCCCTGAGTTTATCATTTTCTTTTATCACTTTGTCCACTGAACTTAGGAGCAACCAACTAGTTTCATTATGTTCCTTGGTTGTCCACGTAGTCAAAGGTATTATGTATAGAGTCACTATACTCCTTGCTTCTCATGAGTGATGAATCAGGAGCATCAAATGCATTTATTTTGCCTAACACTCTAAACAGTTCATGCCAAGGACTATGAGTGTTCTCCGTTCTATCAGAAGTAGAGTCCTTAGCATTTTGGGGTCTAATATTAAGCAGCCAACTCCAGAAACCCCCAAAACAATGAAAGAATTCCATCCTTAATATTCTGTTCCTTTAGAACGACTCTTGGTACCAAAAATTGTCTTAGGTCTTAGGGCTTTCTAGAGGGAAAGATTAATAGGATAAATAAATAAATAAATAAATAAAATGTAAAGTGGAACTTTTTTATTGCATTTTAGGTTTTTGGGTACATATGAAGAACATGCAAGATTGTTGCATAGGTACACACATGGCAGTATGATTTGCTGCCTTCCTCCCCTTCACCTATGTCTGGCATTTCTCCCCATGCTATCTCTCCCCAACTCCCCACCCCCCGTCCCTCCCCTGTTTCCCCCCAACAGACCCCAGTGTGTAGTGCTCCCCTCCCTGTGTCCATGTGTTCTCACTGTTCAACACCTACCTATGAGTGAGAACATTCGGTGTTTGATTTTCTGCTCGTGTCAGTTTGCTGAGAATGATGGTTTCCAGGTTCATAATGTCCCTACAAAGGACACAAACTCATCGTTTTTGATGGCTGCATAATATTCCATGGTGTATATGCACCACATTTTCCCTGTCCAGTCTATTATCAATGGGCATTTGGGTTGGTTCCAGGTCTTTGCTATTGTAAACAGTGCTGCAATGAACATTCGTGTGCATGTGTTCTTATAGTAGAACGATTTATAATCCTTTGGATATATACCCAGTAATGGGATTGCTGGGTCAAATGGAATTTCTATTTTTAGGTCCTTAAGGAATCGCCACACTGTCTTCTACAATGGTTGAACTAATTTACACTCCCACCAAGAGCGTAAGAGTGGAACTTATTAAGTATTATCTCACATCATCACAAGGTCCCACAATAGGCCATCTGCAAGCTGAGGAGCAAGGAGAGCCAGCCTGAATCTCACAACTGAAGAACTTGATGTTAGAAGGCAGGAAGCATCCAGCATCAGAGAAAGATGTAGGCTGAGAGGCTAGGCCAGTCTAGTCTTTTCACATTTTTCTGACTGCTTTATATTCTAGCCGTGCTGGCAGCTGATTAGATGGTGCCCACTCAGACTAAGGGTAGCTCTGCCTTTCCCACCCCACTGACTCAAATGTTAGTGTCCTTTGGCTACACCCTCACAGACATGCCCAGGATCAATACTTTGCATCCTTCAATCCAATCAAATTGACACTCGGTATTAACCATCCCAGATGTCTGGCCATATTTGTTTGATTCCTAAACAGAATGGAAATTAGCATATGTTAACAGTTCTTGGTTTCTCATTTTCTAAATTAAAACAAGTCTGGAATGAGTAAAATAAACAGTTTTCTTTACTTGGTTTTAGCTAATTTTACTTAATGCTCTTTATTTTCTATTTCCTATGAATGGTTTAACAACTCTTAGAAAACGGAAGAAATGCAAATGTTAGCTTTGAGTCTGTTTTTCCACATCGTAAGTGTTGATGTATTTTCAATGAAATTGGAAGTGCACCTCCTAGTAGAAATAAAAATGCCCAAGCTGATTCACTCTTGAGTGTAGAAGACAAAGTTCATAACTGCCCATGAGTCTGTAATGAGAATATCAATGCTGTTTTACAGCTTTTGCCAGCAAGAGAAGCTTCCAATGACCTTCCAGTCCTGTGTGATCACCAAAGAGTGCCAGGTTTCCGAATGGTCAGAGTGGAGCCCCTGCTCAAAAACATGCCACGACATGGTGTCCCCCGCAGGCACTCGTGTAAGGACACGCACCATCAGGCAGTTTCCTATTGGCAGTGAAAAGGAGTGTCCAGAACTTGAAGAAAAAGAACCCTGTGTGTCTCAAGGAGATGGAGTTGCCCCCTGTGCCACGTGAGTAAATAAAGAAGGGTACAATGTCTGCCCAAATGGCATTGGTTCAGCTACTTGATTTTGACTGAGCAGTATACTGAGCAACAGTAATTTTTTACAAACAGTATCCTTAAAAAAAAAAGATTTTACAGAATAAAATCTTTGACAAACTAAACGTCCATGAAATTTTTAGCACCAATTCTATGTTTATGTATTTTCTGTAATAGGAGTTGCCAAAATGTTTCTGTAAAGGGGTAGATAGTTAAAGCATTAAGCTGTGCAGGCTACACATGTCTCTGTTACAATGACTCAACACTGCTATTGGAGCTATAGGTAATATGTAAACAACTGAGTGTGACTGTGTTCCAATAAAACTTTATTAGTAAAGAAAGGTGGCAGGTTATTTGTTCTTGGGCCACAGTTTGTCAACCTCCATTCCACAAGGTAAAATAAACTTTCGAAATAATCGATTATTGTTAACTATTAAAATTTAGTATTGTGTATAAAAAATTCTATTCAATAGAGTAAAGTAATGCATCAAAATAACAAGACTGTAAGTTTCATGAGGACAAAGATTGTGCTTACTAATATTGGGAAAGGGGTTGGTTTTTTCACTTGTTTACTTTTTGTTTAATTACTATCATATATCACAGTACCTTGTACAAAGTAAGTGTTCAGTAAATATTCATTGAATTCAGATTAGGTAAGACTCGTTCTGAAACATTTGGCAGTATATCAGTGTTAAAATATCGTTTCCAAGTTATTATTGTGAATTAATTTGGTAATAGCAATATTTCAGCTTAATCTGCATATAGGATATTTATAAAGCAGCTTATGTTAGTTTTGCAGTAGAGATGTGTGAATTTCATAGAGCACATCTCTGGATTATTCCAAACATTTAAAGAACATGCATATAGCTAGATCTTAATGAACCATTGAGGAGGCAAATTACTACTACTACTATTGCTATAATGACAGCAACAAAATTAGTAATGTTTTATACCAGATATGTAATTCTGCAGCACTTTGGACTCAACAACTGTGCTCTAATGTAAAAAGTGCTGAAACCTCCACAGAGAATTTCCTCTCCAATGTCTCTGCCTACCCCACTGATTGTTCTGGTTCCTCTCCACATAATGGGCTCAAGGAAGTTGCCAGGATTTCCTGTGTTTTCTCTCCTATGAGTTTCTTCTATTTTTGTTGCAAGCTAGGTCCTTTATTCTTTTTTTTTTCTCAGATATTCAAACACTATTAATGAAACAAATATATATCCTTGAATATCTTTCTCCATGCCTTTTTTGGGGGTAGCATTTTTCATAGAACATGTAATCAGTTTACATTGTTCAAAGACTACTCCTCTCATTGGACTTTTTGGGGTGAGCTAAATTGGATCTCCGATTTATTTTTTCAAATACTTGTAACTCCCTTGACAAATGACCTGTTTGGTTTTACTTCCTTCTCCCCAACCTCAAAACGAGGCATCAACTATCCGTGTTTCTAGAGTTGACCTGAGCGCTGTTCTTCCTTTATAAATTCACATCATGTGTTGTTTCTTCATGACCCAGTCCTACAATTCTGTCAAGCAACAGATACCCACTTATAAAAATCAAAAACAGGCCTGAAATTCATCTTTACGGTCATGAAACCTTACCACTGACAGAGTGAAACCTGTAGATCAGACGTCTGAGGGCCGTTTAACTTTCTGCCTGATGCAGATGAATATTAGTACATCCATTTGCACCTACGTTGGCTGTTTATCTGATTAATAAGGAAGCATCTTGCTTAAAGTGACACAAAGTGCTACATGAGTCATTTTCTTCGTGCTTTTAGAATATTTACTTTCCTTGAGGTGGAGAAATGCCATCTCTTCCTGTCTTCGGTGGCATCGGGAAATGTTTCCCTAGCTCTCTCCTTCAATCACGTGTTGGACTGACAATCTCCTGACATTTCCCTCACATCATAATCTTGATTGGAGCTTTAATTGAGAATCATAGATCTTCTTTGCTGTGCTCCACTGATGAGAAGTGTCAGCTCTTTGCATCACACATCAGCACTCATTAGGGATGCTCCGTGCTCAAAAAAAAAAAAAAAAAAAAAAAAAAATCTTACTCTTGACAATAAAGAGAAAACTCTGAATTATTCTCTTATAATTTTTAACCCTAATATGCAATTATAATTTTGCTACACTGTGCAGTTTTCATTCATTTTCATAAAGGAAAAGCAAATGTTTTGGTTCATCGTCACTCAGAATGTTTTCCATTTTCATATTCAATTCTCCTTTTTTTATAGGCAACAAGAAAGGGCAAGCTTGGGTTCAGCTTAATTGAACATAAAATTTCATGTTTTCAGCATTAAGCTCTCTTTTCATAAAATATTTATAAGTAACTTCCAGTAATTGCAATTAAAGCAGGATCACCCTAAATTTAACCCCTCATTAAATGGAGTGCTACAGAGCATCAAGAAGGAGCTGAAACCAAATATGCACCATAGATATAGTCTATGACAGATTCTGTAGGAAGATGCTTTTGAGACGAATTTTCTTTAAAACAAAGTGTGAGAGGAGTAGGTAAACATGGTATTCAATAAATATGCTTGCCGCTGCTGTGTTTTCTTGATTTAGGTATGGCTGGAGAACTACGGAGTGGACTGAGTGCCGTGTGGACCCTTTGCTCAGTCAGCAGGACAAGAGGCGCAGCAACCAGACAGCCCTCTGTGGCGGGGGCATCCAGACCCGAGAGGTGTACTGCGTGCAGGCCAATGAAAACCTTCTCTCACAATTAAATACCCACAAGAACAAAGAAGGTAACCTTTGCTTTCTTCTCAAGGCTTCACTTATAAAGGCTATGTGATTGCTCTGAATGGATATATATACTGCCATCTGAGGCATGAGAGCTGTATTTCTGTTCACATTATGGTGGTACTCACTCTAGCAAACAGTAATCCACACTGTGATTGTAAAGGTATTTAATACAACTCCATCTTTGGTCAGTTCTGGTTTACTAACAAGCTTCTTTAAAATTTTGACTTGAAGGCCTTCTTGATTCAAACTCTGCATCAAACTCTAGCAGGAATAATTGCAAAACTAGAATAAAAAATTATCTGTAAGTATACACATATCATGTAAATGTGTAGTGTGAATTCCAAAATTATATAAGAAGTAAAACCTGCTTGTCAAAAAAAAATCTTATTTGGTTAAAATATGGTTAAAAATAAGTTAATTATGATATTGAATGAAATTATCAATTAGAATTTAAATAAGTACAGAATAAAAACAGTAAAAAAAGTCTTTAACCCAAAGGCATTTTTTTAAACTCTTCAATAATTTGGCAATCATCTCTCTTTTTTTTTTTTTCAATTAAATCTGTTTCCAGACCAGATGTAGTAAGTGTACAAAAGAAAAAGTGAATGCAATATGGCCTAAGCTAAAAGTATATATTTTAGATATGACTCTAAAATTATCATAATTACTGGATCAAGTATACACTGAATTAGTAGATCTTAAGCTCACAAACAAATACGAACATATTTAAGCACTACTATAAGCAGTCTTTCTCCTCCTTCTGTCTGAGGAATAGCAGGACTTCTTTGGTTGGTCCGTTGAATGTTTATCAACATATATGATTTGTTTAAGAGAGTGAGGATAAATATCAATACAGATTGCATGTCATGGACATCCTCAAAGTCTTCAGGAGAGCATGTAGACAAACCAGTAATTAAAATGCAATATGCCAAGCCATACAGTAAGTTTCGGAGTGAGCATAGGGGAGTAGTGGAAACAGAGCCCTTTATGGCGGGAGTGACACTTAAGCTGAATGATAGCAGAGACACTACTTACAGGTAAGTATGGCAAGAGTGCATGAGAAAGTTTATTTCAGGCAAGGGAACAGAGTGTATTAATGCACAATGCTAAAGAAAAGCAAAAACAAAGGACAAATCTCACCAGTAAAGATGAATGTGTTGTATTTGGCAAGTTGTAGAGAGGGGAGGGGAGGAGAGGTGGAAGGAAAGGATTGTATTTCTGTAGACAATACCTTGGTAGAAAAAGTACAAGAATAAAGGCCCTATTCTATACCACCAAATGAAACACCAAAAAAGGAGAATATTGTGGGAAGGAACAGGAGCAAAAATGATGAGAAAATAAGGTAAGGAACCAGGAGAAATGAATGCCTTAAAAACCAAAAGAAGAGATGGCTTCTGTGTCCCTCCCAAAAAGCAGTGACACAAGTGACCAGTAATTCATGGAGGATAAAAGCGAAAGTTTTGCAGTTGCAACTTTCAACATTTAATTGTTCTGTATCTACTAACTTTACACAGCATGTCAACTCATTTAGGAGTCTAGCCTAGGGATACATTTTACTACTAATGTATCTTGAGGTTATAAGGAAGTAGCATAAAACATGTAATGTTAGTACATTAATATTTTCTTGGCCACTTTAATGGCTGCATTTTAACACTCTTAAGTAGATTTATTATAGCAGTCTTTCCAGGGTAGTATAATTTCATTGCTAGAGGTAGATCAGATTTTCGTTTCAGAATGTCAATTATGTCCTGTAGGTTATTACTTTCCAAAGATCCTTCAGAATTCTGAATTGCAACTGGGTATTTTTTTAAAGCATTTTCTTTTAGAGCACCCCGACCACTGCTAAACCACAGCAGACACCAAAAAGAAGTCACAGAAAAAGAATGAAAACTGAAAGAATATCATGATTAAGACGTATTTGTTAGACTGAAGCAAATGCCAAAGCAAAGGTCAACAGAGATGGAAGTAATTAATTCACCTAAAATTAATATTTATCATGTAAATATGTAACATGAATAATTTAAGAATGTGTGTCCTTTCATACCAAGTATGAAGAATACTAATGAACTTCTCAAAGTCTTTGCAAAAACAGTTGATTCTCCCTAAAAATGTAGCTTTTATTCCACCAAATTTAGACTCTTGTTAGTTTCTCTCTGGGAGCACTTAACATTTCCCAGTAGGAAACATACTCAGTATACCGGCATCCCAGGGGTGACACGCGAAGTCTATGAATGTGTGCAAAGGGAGAACAACTAGGCTGTGGGCTTGAGGATTATACAGGGTGGATGTTCAGTCATCATCTGAAAGAATGAAAGCTTATCTTATAAAAGAGAGAGACATCTCTCAAAACAACTCCCGAGCTAAGAAGAAGATACTCATTTCAAGAAATCATTTCTGTGTAACCGTGAAAAACCTGCACTATGACCATCTCATGTTGTACTTAGTTTGAAGAACAGTCTACACTGTTCTTTTTGTGGACTCACACCATGTATTCTCTAGATGACTTGTTTTCACATATAACCAAGATGTGAAAAAGAACCTAACACAAAATAAAATACTTTAACTCAAAAATAAAATTGTTTAGCACCAAAAATACTGAAAGCAAGGGATATGAAATTCACATAAACCTCCTTTACTAACTTGGTGCATTGTGTCACATGGGGGATTGGTAATGACTACCTTAGCACAAAGGCAGGAGGCATTAATGACTTTATTCATTGGTATATTCCCTACTATTAACTGACACACACCATAAGGAATAGAAAAATTCTTATCCTTGGAGTTAATATATCTAATTTCCAGAATATCAAAATGTATGTTATTAAAGTACTCACAAGGTCTTCAGTATAATATTCACAATTTGGTATGCTATTTTTTTTCCAGCGGAATTATATCATCAGATATTCTAAGTTGGAGATAGCACCTGTAAACAATAGGAAAAATATATCTAATTGACACTGGAGAGTGTCTATATTTTATTATTGCCCTGCTGTTAGCTATAGGTAACCCTCCCAATTCTGACAGCTATTCCCCCACAACACTCAGGTAAGCAGCATTTCCACTGTATCATTTCTGTAGAAGAAAGGCTTGGCAAGTTCCCTGCTGAGAGTGTCAGTAGTAAAACCGGTGACAGGTTCTGTTTAGCCAGCTGGTCAGATTTCCAGTAGGCTGTGAACGATGTCCAGCTAATGCTGGCATGAAATCTACCCTTATCAGAATATGACAGAAAGAAGCCTTGCCTGTGGGGAGGTTATCTGTGTGACTCCTAGAAAGCTGATGAACGTGTTGCTGATCATTGGATGCATGGAAGTAAAATGACATTTTTTAGAGTTCAAAGTAAAATGAAAGTTGATTTTATCTACAGTAACTCAAGAAATTCTTTTACTTAGTACAGATTGAACATGTTTTTAAATAAGAGAAACTAAAAGTATTGGTTATAAGGCACCATTAAGCTTAGTGACTTATGGGAAACTTAAGAGCATTCCTCTGTAGAAAACATATTAAGAATCCACACCAGAATCTGTATATTGTCTGGGGAGAAATGGCAGATATAGCTGAGGGGAAGGAAGGCAGCAAACCACACTGCCATGTGTGTACCTATGCAACAATCTTGCATGTTCTTCACTTGTACCCCAAAACCTAAAATGCAATTTAAAAAAAAAAAGACAGCCTAGATAATAAGACTTTATGATGACACAGAATGAGATATAGCAGCAGAAAGCTTGGAGGGTCGATGGGAAGATAAAGGGATGGATGATTGAACTGTGAATGGATAGATGAAAGGATAAGTAAAGAACTCACGTTCCCTCATGTTCAACATAGAAACCAGAAAATAAAATGGTCACACTATTGTAAATGGACAATAAATTATTTATCACTGTATTTTATCCAGTTTCCACACATAAAACCACTCCAGAAAAAGCTTTTTGAAAAAAGAGAAAAGAAAAGAAAGGCTATGTTGATGGTGCCATTTCCCTGTTATTTTAGAAAGTAAATATCAGAGGCAGGGCACGATGGCTCACACCTGTAATCCCAGCACTTTGGGAGGCCGAGGCAGATGGATCACAAGGTCAGGAGATCAAGACCATCCTGGCCAACATGGTGAAACCCTGTCTCTACTAAAAATACAAAAAAATTAGCTGGGCGTGGTGGCGCATGCCTGTAGTCCCAGCTACTCGGGAGGCTGAGGCAGGAGAATTGCTTGAACCTGGGAGGCGGAGGTTGCGGTGAGCCGAGATCGCTCCACTGCACTCCAGCCTGGGCGACAGAATGACACTCAGTCTCAAAAAAAAAGAAAAGAAAATATCAGAGTATGTTGAAATCTAGTGCTGCATGTTTCCTATTCCTCACTTTTGAAACAAAAGGTAGGTAAGAATATTTTACATGATAGTTCCACCTGAAGTGGGTGTCAGAGAACCGTGAGTCACTGATACCTAAGAGAGTCTCCATAGATTCCCAGATGCAATCCTTAGGCCATTTAGGAAAAGGAGTGGTTTATTTTTACTTTCTATTTTGCTAGAAATATATCAAACCTCTCCCATGAAGAAAAATGAACTAGAACATATGATGGCTACAGATTGGAAACAGTGCATTGTAGATACAGTGGAATATAAAAGGCACTGGAAAATAATATGGGAGTTTGTCAAATAATGCTATTTTGTCCAACATTTTGTTATAACATTGATGAGAAAAAAAAATCAATTCCCAGCTGAGCCCACTGTCACTGTGGAGTTCAAATGTTCCTCCTATGTCTGCATGCGTTTTCTGTGGGTGTTTTGATTTCCTCCAATGTCTCAGAGATCTCCACATCAGGTGAATTGGCATGTCTACAGAGTCCCTGTCTGAGTGAGTGTGCGTGTGTGTGTGTGAGTGCACCCTGAGGTGGGATATCATGTTATCCAGCCACGGTTCGCACCTTGCTCCCTACACTAATGGAATAGGCTCTGGCCACCCACGACCCTGGACTGAAATAATTAGGTAAACAATGATCTTACTTGTTTTT